TTTACAGTACTAAATTAGGGACGGCTAGCGCAGATAGCCTTCGTGTAGCTTTGCGCGAAATTCGAATCAAACAACCGAAAATAAAATATCTTCAAGAGTAAAAGTTAAAGTAAAATAAATTTGTTTGTTTGCTTGTTGTTAAGCCCAAAGCTTCACAATGGGCTATTTGTGCTATGCCCATCACGGGTATCGAAACCCAATTTTTAGTGATATGAGCTCACTGACTGCTGGCAATAAAATGTATAACAATAATTAGCGTTAAATTACTTAGATAATTATGTGTTATTAATCGTTGTTATAATTTTGATTTGTGAATAACTTATATTTCATCAGCTTAACCTACTTCACAACATAACTATTGTTATTCGTACAAATTGATTATATTATAAACAGCATCTTAACCATTACTTTGTCATATCCCAACGAGCCTGCTGGGCCCTAATTGCTTCGGATATAACAGAAACAGTGTAGTTAATATGTTGTTGTACACCATTCTTCGCTAGAACTGTAACTTGCGTGTTAGTTTTCTGTAATAGACGAGGCTTAACTTTTAACTTCACATTGGCATAAATTCAGTAAGAAAATATGGACAGGCGCAAGTGTCCCTCATAATCACGTTGTGAAACACGTTCTCAGAAATAGTTTATTTGTGCTAAAAGACCCCACCTGTTATTGCGCATGTGTCGCAGGAATTGCGTGATGACTTGCCGAAACTACCTTGACAATACTACCATGGCCAGAGGCTTTTTTTTAAAAAACACGAAACCAGTTTTTTGCAGGAGTTTTTTGTACGTAAATGTGTGAATTTTAATATCATATTCTGAAATTTTATTCTTTTAAAACTAAATATCATTAAACTCAGGCTAACTAGTAATATAAGTCATTATGAATAACTTGTGATAAATAGAAGGTTAACCACATAGATTAGAACTGAAAATGTAACGTATAAGTTAATAATACTAGTTCTGTACGACAAACTGAGTATAAATACATAATATCATGAAAACTGGAACTGATAAAGATTGTATTCAGATGGGTACCTACGCTGTTAAGGATATTGTCGGTCGTAATCCCAATAATATCTAACATAATCAACAATTATTGCACCAGACTCTCTTCTCGTTTAATCCGAGAAAGTTTGTTTATTTGCTTGAAGTTAAGCACAAAGCTACACAATGGGCTATCTGTGCTCTGCCCACCACGGGTATCGAAACCCGGATTCTAGCGTTGTAAGTCCGCAGACATACCGCTGTGCCACTGGGGGGCCCGAGAAAGTAAAACAAAAACAGAATGTATTATGGGGAAA